AAAGAATAATAGACCTGAGGGGCAGTGGCTAAAACAAGAAGAAGTAGGATTGTGCAGATGATTCATGATGCCATCAGCATCCCAGATGTCCCTCCTTCAGCTGTGAGGCTGCCGGTGTTTGACGTCTCCTTTCCTGGTCTGCTGGTTGGCAGCAGCTCCTGGCATTATATTCTCACATGGCAATATCCAAAGGCCAGAAGGACTGCTTTTGTCTACCTCTTTTCCTACAAATAACGAAGAACAGTAGGATGCTTACAATAGCCTTCCCCGAATATTTTACTGGCTGGGTTATATCACATACTCATTCCTAAATGAGCCTCTGGTGAAAGAAAGGTAGTTCCACTCATTATCTTAGAAGTCAATTCTGTTTTGGGAGCTGGGGGGAGGTTACATTCTTTGTATATTGGGATAAAAAGATATCAAAGTAAAGTTGCAATTGTGCAACAAGAAGGAAGAAAAACAATGGCTGTCAGGTTGGAAATGAGCAACATGTGCTGCAGGGATTCCATGGGGAATTTTGAGCACAAGAGCAAGAAAATTAGATTTGAGTATTAGGGCTCTCTGGTCATGACCTAAAGCATAGGGAGGGATGACCGAGCCAGACATAGAGAAACAAGAAAACGGTACTGAGACGGATGCAAGCGATGAAGGTGCTCCAGAGGAGCCAACAGATGAGAAGAACCTGACCTTTGCGGATGGAAAAGACAACACTGACATGGCCAGTAAATTAGTGAAATCTATGGAATTTGATTTTTCTTCTCTCTGTGCTTAAAAGCCACTATAGGGTGAGGGAAGGGAATAGCTGATTGGTAGATGGATCGCATGCTTCAGATACAGGAGTTCCTTGGTTCAATACCCAGTATCGCCATTAAAAACAAAAATACAAAAGCTAATGAAATATATCTGAAGTCTGTAGCTCCAGATAACATATCCATTACTGTTTCTTTTCCATTTCCCAACTACCGTAATACATAGCCAACAAAACCAGGGTTTTCCTAAGCAAAGTGCATCTTCCCTGAGAAATTGCTTTGGGCCACGTTAACTTACAGAAAAATTCTTGCATGGAGTTAAGCTTCACGTGTGTGTGTATGTGTGTATGTGTGTGCGCGCGCGTGCGTGCGCAGGTCAAAGCGGTCAGTGTTGTCTCTGAATAATCTGTGTGACTGCACCCTCTAGGTGAAGCGTCACCTTTGCCCTCGGGACCGGAGGAGGACGCACGCACCCCTGGCGAGGAGGTACCGTCTTGTTTTCTTGACTTTCGTCGTCCTGTAGCACCTAGCCGTCGAGGGTCGCTAGTGCACATGAGCAGATGGATGCGTCGCCCCTGCGTCCCGACGTTTGCATTTTCCCGTCGTGGTTCTTGACTCCCCTTTTGTAATCCAAGCTAATTAAGTCGTTCTGTGCTTTCGGTCTCGCCAGGGCACAGTACACTTGTGTTAGTTCTCCACGCTCCCCTACGGAGAGCGGTGTCTGTGTCTCCATTCTTTGCTTGCACTGCTTTTCCCTGGTAGGTTAGTCCAAGTCACTGCATGTAGATAGCTCCCCGTGCCAGTTCAGAGGTCTCCCGCTTCGCCTTGC